GTCCACGGTCTATACACAATTTTTATTTAAAAGACGTACAATATTTATATAGTTATATTTTTTCCGAAATTTACAGTCTTGAAAAAAGTACGTAATATTATTGATGATAGCAGAACATTTCAAGATGCATTATATTTTTTGGGGAATTATTACATACACCTGAAAAAATTCAAAAGGTTTTNGAATATTGCAAATTAGTAGTGTTCTTGTTTTATATATTTTTGTTTTGTAAATTATAACAAAAGAGAGAGAATCTACATTTTTCAGATATATAATCTCAAAATATTTAATTCATATTATACAAAATTCAATTAACGAATATATTATATTTATATGATATATTATATGAATTAAATTTTACTTTAGGATTGTGCTTCTGTAAAATGTAGATTTTATTTGTGATTTACAAATTAAAAATATAGAACAATTATTAATACTAATAATATAGTTTACATATATTAGGTGTTGGAATTAATTTGTAGCGTTTTACAAGAGATTGCGTAGGTAGTACAGTATTTCGTTGTTACCTACAGTAATGTATTCATCGTAAAACAGCTGTCATTGGACGTAATTTGCTTTACATAACCGTTTTTTGAATCGTTCAAAAATAACAACACTTTATAATTTATTGAATATGTCAAAATTTGTGCCAAATAAAGTGTTTTTGCGGGGAGTTTTACTTCATTAGTTTACTGCTGCTTCAACGGGAGAAAAGAAAAGGTTTTTTGCATCGAATTGTCACCGGTGATAAAAAATGGATCTATTACGACAATCCGAAGCGCAGAAAGTCATGAGTTAAGTCGGCCAACCATCAACATCAGTGGGAAAGCCGAATATCTATGGGTCTAAGCTCCTGCTCTGTATTTGGTAGGATCAGAGGGGTGTGATTTATTATAAACTGCTAAAACCGAATGAAACCATAACTGGGGATCGCTACCGACTACAAGTGATGCGCTTGAGCCGTGCATTGAAAGAAATACTCCAAAAGACACGACAAAGTCATTTTGCTGCACGACAATGCTCGTCCGCACGTAGCAAAACCGGTACAAACATACCTGGAAACACTTAAATGGAAAGTTCTACCCCACCCGCTATATTCTCCAGATGTTGCTCCTTCTGATTACCATTTGTTTCGTTCGATGGCTCATAGCCATATATTAATAATATAGTTTACATATATATTAAATGTTTTTCAATATTCTAAAAACTTTTAAATTTTAGCACAGTTAACTTATATTAAGAATTAATAAAAATATTATAATAAATGCGTCTTGAGATGTTTAACTCATCCTTATCAATAATATTACGTACTTTTTCCAAGATTTACAGTCTTGGAAACGCATTTTGCGTTGTCATACGCTACAAGCGCGCAACGTAAAACGTGTCTTTCTAGCCTCAGTGGTTTGCTCGCATAGCGGGCTTGGTGGAAACGAGGCAAAACATAGTATGTCTGCGCTCTTTCACGAGCCGACCAGCCGAGCGTGACGTCACGCGCACGGACGGCGGTTCTTGCTTGTGTGCGTGCTCCCACCACCTTGGTGCTCTTGGTGCTGGCCGGCCCGATCACTGGTTGGGATCAGCATAGATGCCATATTGGAGATGCTTGCAGCATGCTCAGCAAGTAGAGGGGATACACAGACCAAACGCACGGTAGCGAACAGCCGTGTACGTGTGCGCTCAGTGCTTCGGCCAGTGGCTGCTTGCTTGTGTGCGTATCTTTTCCACTTGCTGTAGCATGCTGCAAGTGTCTCCGATCTGGTATCTATGGGAACCTGGTTCTTTTCCAAGCTTAAGGCATTGTTTCGAGAGCGATTTCTGCAGCCGAGACGTTGTCTCGAACTTAGAAATTTTCTCCGGTCGAGGCGCTGTCTCCAGCACATCCTAACCGTCCGGTCGAGGCATTGTCTCGATAAACCGCGGTGTCAGATGAGAGTGAAACTGGCAGTCAAACTTAGCAACCAAAACGCTCCGGTCAAGGCTGAATAAAGTGTCGAAGTCCCAAAAATAAAAAGTAAGTAGCTTTACATAACATTACTTCTAAGCAAATGCTATGCTAACAGAAAACATAGGTAAGTCATAATTTTAAATAAATCTCATAATATTACTTAGTGAATTAAAAAAAAGACTTATTCAACAATCTAGGATAATAACCATAAACATACCACAGCCACATGCATATCTATAAAAAGTTCACAGACTCTGTAGTAAATCACAGACACATCTTTTGGTGAGCACTAAACAGCGCTCTAGTCACCAAAGCGATGAGGGACCTTCTTGTTTATTTAAAAAAGTAATTACCTATTTGTGTTTATGTAGCAGCCAAAACTACACGCATATCTGTAGAGTCAAGAAAAATCACAAACACATCATTTAGTGAGCACTAAACGGCGCTTTAGCCACCAAAACGATGACGGTCTTTTTTGTTTATTTAAAAAATTAATTAACAATTTGCCGTCATTGCTTTGGTGCAAAAAAACAACACACTGATGTATTGTTTTCATATTAAACTGTTAGTTTTAAACGACCGTTGAGTTCCTTTTTATCTTTTGACAATGAATTGGATTTTTAGTTGCTCATATATCTACGGTTTTTAATTTTTGAGTGATCTAATGTACTGCTTTTAATCCGTTGTTACTAAAGATGATAATCACAAGGATCGAAACGTCTAACCTGAAATAAATCATTCATTGTATTGTGTACACACAAACAACTTGTGTTTTGTTTCGTATTGGCCTTTCAATTTCTCTACTGACATTTTCACGAGAGATTTCAACTTCTCTTTTCCTTTTTTTTAATTCAATAAATAATATTATAGGATTTCTTTGAAATTATGACTTATCTGTGTTTCCTGTTAACATAGCATTTGCTTAGAAGTAATGTTTTTTAAAGCTAGTTACTTTTTATTTTTGGGATCTTGACACCTTATTCGGCCGTAGCCGGAACGTTTTGGTTGATAAGTTTGGCTGCTAGTTTCACTCTCATTGGTGCCAGAGACGTTGTCTCCAGTACATCCTGGCCGTCCGGTCGAGGCGTTGTCTTGACCCCGTACCCGCTTTGAGGCATTGCCATTGTCTGGAAGCACACCCGGACGCGGCGCTGCTTTGTCAAAACCGAGATAGAGGCATTGTCTTGATTGACGTCGGCTCCACGAACACCGGAGATAAATCGACCGTTGTCATGGTCCAGTCAGTCGTTGTCACGACTACGAACGGTTGTTCTAACGACTTCAGACATTTCCAGTAGCGAGGCTGCTCGTGTACATACGTCCCCCGTTTATATATTTCCCCTTTTTAGGATTAAGAATTAATAGTAAGACTACCGCGCCGTTAATACGTACATCGCCGCTAATTAAAACCGTTCACACATCGGTCAAAACTACCGTCAGAATCACGCGCCGCATAATCTAACTTGCGCTCTGTAAATTTATATACTTTATCGAATAAATTATATTGTAAATTTAAAACAGAATTTAACCGAGTATCGCAATTTCCCTCTTTTATATCTACTTATGTCGCTCGAAAATTTTTAATTGCAATTTTCTTGCAAACGCTTGAGTAGTGCGTCTAAGGCGTTTATTCTGTAACACTTGGCATAGTGACCTATCAATACAAAAAGTTTCAGTGAAATCGAATGGTTACACATCGTGCCCTCTCCTTGTAAGACGAAAAGTCCTATACTACTTTGGAAGATTCGCAATAATTAACAAAATATTAATTAATAAAGATCCGCTAATCAGCGCGCGTCCAGTGTAAGAACAGCGTAAGAACAGCCCAGTCTTTCGCGCGGACGCACCGTAGCGACGGAATAGGAGGAGCTAATAGAATAACATGTGTATACATAAACAGCATATAGGCTGCGTTCGGGCAGCGCGCTATCGCGCTACGACGCGTCCGCGCAAAAAACTGGACTGTCTTTAAGCTGGATGCACGTTGATTAACGGATCTTTAGTAATTAATATTTCGTTAATTATTGCAAATCTTCCAAAGTAGCATAGGACTTTTTGTCTTAGAATAACCCTTTCTACCTACCTACGAGCAGTCAAACGGCAATTATTACACACCCTGTATACAAATGTAATATATCGATAATAATATTGTAATATTGTATTAAATATATAATATTTAATATTACTATATATTGCAATTTTACTGTGATATTTCTGTAATATTACGTGCTATGTGGATTATGTTATTTTTGATTGCAAAAAAATTTAATACATAAAAGGTGAACAATTTACCAAATTGTGCGTGGCTATACTTATCTATAAATAAATGGCTATACGTACCTATAAATAATGTATTTAAAGATATACTATTATTCAAAAAATTTATAAGTAATGTATTTAAAGATATAATATTGTTCAAAAAAATAAATGTTATTATCAATATATTATTATACTTAACGATTAAATTTAACCTAAATTTGTTGTTAGAGTGTCATTTAAACGTTTTAGTGATGTCATTGAAATTCCATATATAAGTTTATATATGACGTCAATGCAACATCTAATTAACGTCATATTGGAACGCCAACTTTTAGGGTTGTAAATGGCGTCAAAATAAGATACCATTTATGTTACTTAAGAAGGTACTGTTAAGTTAAGTTATCGACATAGTTCATGCGCACTCGATTATGTATACCACGAGAATGTTACCGACTGATAAGATGGTTACAAAGTGCGTGCGCACAATCTTATGTTTGCTGTAATGTTTCCTTTCCGTTCTTCTTTTTTTTTCTCCTCCTGAGAGCTAATAAAGGCAGTTAGTCGTATGTTACCAAGCATAGAGACAACACGTCTTAATTTATTACTCATCCTTCATTCAGATGTGGTTTGCGTAAGAGATCAAATCCAATAGGTTATGGGCCCAGGCTATTCTACGCCTGACATTGTGCTGGTTATTCGCGAATTATAAGGGATACGTTTTGACCGAAAAAGTGAGTGCAAGTTAAGAGAAACGTGCTATCGGTGAACGGCTTGTGGCATAAAAACAAAAAAAAGGATGGCGGCGCCTAAGCTCGATTTGGGTGGTCTGTCGAATAAGTTCGACGGCAGTAATTATCGCCTGTGGAAATGCCAATTGGTAAACCTACTAGAAGCGCATGGGCTTCTTGATGTCGCTGACGGAACGACAGCCAGGCCGACGGCGGACGCGGACAGAATTCTCGCATGGCGTCAGACAAACGCGAAGGCAAAGGCTGTGATCACAAACTCGCTTGATTACGCGCAGCTCGAATTTGTCGTTGAATTGAAAACCGCGAAGCAGATGCTAGACAAGCTTGACGCACTGCATGACACAAAAACGGAAGCTAACAAAGTAAGTCTCTTGCAAGAATTCTATGCCTTACGGATGTCGTCACAAGAAACGGTTACACAGTTCATCTCACGAGTTGAGAGTCACGTACGTCGATTAACGGATGCGAAGAAGACGATCGGCGAAGACGAAAAGATTGCGGTTATGCTATCGGGATTACCATCCAAGTTTAACACGACGATCACGATGTTCAAAACGAGAACCGACGACAAGCGCACGGTAACGCAACTACAGCGCGATCTGATTGACGCTGAGCAATTGATGCAGAAGACCGACGAGGTAACAGTTGCACTCGCGGCAACCGCGGTGAACACCGAGACGAAGAACTTGAAGCCAGACACGAAACAGAAACCGAAGAGAAAGTTCCGATGTTACGCATGTGGAAAAATGGGCACGCATTACGCCCAAGATTGTCGTGCGCGTAGTGACAAAGAGAAGACGAAATCTGATCAACATCGCGATGTGAATAAAGATGCGAAGGCATTCACGGCTACCATCACTTCGGAAATCGACTCAATTATGCGTGAGGATGCAAGGAACGTGTGGACAGTCGACAGCGGTTGTAACGTCCACGTCACAAGTAGACGAGATTGGCTTGTCAATTTCAAAAAAGAAACCGGTGCAACGTTAACGGTCGGCGGAGGTCGAAAACTTCCGGTACTCGGTAGAGGTCGCGTCAATATTTCGCGAACGGTAAATGGATCGCGACGAAAATTCGCGAAGTGCTCTACGTTCCCGAACTCGGACATAATTTGCTATCGGTCAGCAAGTGTGTTGATAATGGAATGCGACAAGAAGCACACGGAAACACGTTCAGATTCTACGATGGGAAGAAAGTGACTGGAGAGGGACGTCGTCAAGNCGATGGTTTATACCGGATGCTATTTCGAGTGCAGCCAGCAGCGACAGCAAACATTGCGATGAAGGCATCGCTGAAGATGGTTCACGAGCGCCTAGGACATGTGAACTTGAAATCGTTGCGAGACATGGTTAAGCAGGGTCACGTCGAAGGCATCGAATTAAGGGATACAAAAGACTTCTTCTGTCGAGGATGTGCGTACGGTAAAGCACATAAATTGCCGTTTAAGTCAACTGACAAAGCGGGCGCGTCGTCTCCGCGGGAGCACGTGAGCGCAGACTTGTGCACGATGGACAAGAAATCCATTGGCGGCAACAAATATTTCGCATTGTTTAAGTGTAGTGCAACCGGCTGGTGACGCGTATCAGGCAAACGTAGCGCAATATTGCGAACCAGAAACCCTCGACGAAGCAATGTCATCGAATGAAGCAAAAGAATGGAAGTCAGCAATCGACGAAGAGCTTGCTGCTCATGATAAGCACGGAACTTGGAAACTCGAGGTACCAAAAGCTGGGACTAAGATTGAAACCTGTAAGTGGGTGTTCAAGAGAAAGACATCGCCAACAGGCGAGGTCATACGGTACAAAGCTCGATTATGTGCACGAGGATTCGAGTCTGTCCATGGTAATACCTACGCACCCGTCGTAAGATACGATACAGTGCGTGTGTTGCTAGCAATTGCAGCGGCGAATGATTACAAAATGGCACAGTTAGATGTCAAGAACGCATATCTCAATGGANTGCTCGAACGAGAAGTGTGGATGGAACCACCGGGAGGTTTCAAGACAGAGGATAAGAAGATGAAGTGTCGTCTCATTAAGGCGATCTATGGGCTTCCTGAATCGGCATACTGTTGGAATAAACGTATTAACGCGGAGTTACTCAAATTGAATATGTGTCGCAGTAGCGCAGATCAATGTGTGTATTACGGAAAAATCGGTGAAGTTGAGACAATAATTGGATTGTTTGTTGACGACGTGATTTGTATGGCTGCCGATACAGAAGCAATTAAGTTTGTTTTAGAGAAGTTGTCGAATGTATTCGAATTAACAATCGTAAACCCGTCTGTGTTTGTAGGTCTTCAGATCGAACGCGATCGTAAATCACGATCAATACTCATACACCAAGCCGGATATATTAGAAAAATTATTGAGCGTTTCGGACTTGTTAATGCAAAGCCAATCGTTATTCCTGCTGATCCGTACACGGTCTTAAGTTTCGAGATGGCAAAAGATAATAGAGAGAATGATAAGATTCCATATCGCGAACTCATAGGTAGTTTAATGTATGTAGCCACCACCACGAGACCGTACATCATGTACGCGACGACTGAGTTGAGTAAATTTGTCGCAAATTTCGAACAAGCACATTATAATGCAGCGAAGCGCGTAATTAAATATCTACAAGCAACAATAAATTTAGGGATTGAGTACAAATTTGGCGAGAACGAAAATAAGTTGTTTGGTTATTCGGATGCTGATTTTACTGGAGATGTAGATTCACGTCGGTTGATGTCGGGTAACGCGTTTATGTTGAACAGGGGTATCATTGCGTGAACCGCAAAGAGACAAAAGACGGTGGCACTCTCGACCTGCGAATCGGAGTACATTGCGGCGTGCGCGGCGACTCGAGAAGTGGTTTGGTTGCGTCGTTTACTTAAAGACATTGGTAAGCAACAAGACAGTGGCACGTCAATCAAAATGGATAATCAAGCAGCTATCTTACTCATCAAGAAAGATGAGAATAAAAACCGCACGAAGTACATTGATATACAGTCTCATTTTACTCGCAAAAAGTACGCGACAAATGAAATTGGCATAGAGTTTGTTCCGTCAAAGGACTAGTTGGCGGACATGTTTACAAAACCGTTACCGCGCGAACGATTTACATTACTTAGAGGCGCGATAGGAATGCGTGAAAAATAAGTTACTTAATCGAGTACTTATTCAGGGGGAGTGTTAAGTTAAGTTATTGACATAGTTCATGCGCACTCGATTATATATATCACGAGAATGTTACCGACCGATAAGATGGTTACAAAGTGCGTGCGCACAATCTTATGTTTGCTGTAATGTTTCTTTTCCGTTCTTCTTTTTTTTTCTCCTCCTGAGAGCTAATAAAGGCAATTAGTCGTATGTTACCAAGCATAGAGACAACACGTCTTAACTTATTACTCATCCTTCATTCAGATGTGGTTTGCGTAAGAGATCAAATTTAATAGGTACTCAATACCGACTATAAAGACCTGTAAACTGACGTTTCTTATATTTCGTTTTGTGCCGTATTTACTGCATCAAATGCAAAATGCTTCTATAGAAATAAGTAAATTGTACTAAGGGTTTGCTGTTGTTCTTTAAAATGTCAAAATTCAGCATAAATTTTTTTTTATATATATTGTAACGTTTTTTTTTTTCATGATATGAAATTCTCGCGCCGCTCCCCCACAAACGGAGAGTCTAACACGGAACTCGGGCGGACGTCCGCGAGAATAATACAACGTCGAGTTACTGGCAGGATAGAAAAGATTTTATTCGAGCAAATTGCTGCGTCGGTCCGACGGTTTCTGGGTTGAAAAGTGGGCGCCAGACGCGTTCCCGCGTCAAATTCGGCGTCGGTCAAGCACAACGAATCAGCCAGCTCAATTTTTGGACGGAAAAGAGCTGGGTTTATAAAATATTTTTACTTCAGGCTGTCCTTTACCCGCGCGATAATAAGACTCACGCAATAAATAAAACCAGAGTTAAACAAAGACCGGTTACCAATTTATTGGAAAAATAGAAGTAAGAAATTAACATGAAAAGAAAAGAAAATAACATATAAAAGAATAAGCTACGTTTATATATACAATAAATAACAGACGGCAGCAAATAACGTTAGCCAACGAGATAAACAATTGAAACAAAACGATACCGCGAATCTGCCGAACAAGAGATAATCACAATTAAATTCGGCTGTAAGATAATTGTTACCAAAACGAGATAGCGGCGGTAGCAGAGTGTAAAGCTAGACGCAGGCTAAGCAGGCGAGGGGGTGCACGCAGTCACTAAATGCAAGCAATGCGCGAGAATAAATTAGCGTGCAAGCAGGTTCTTAGCAAGCAGCAAATCAACGCGGACTTCCTTGGTTTGCCGGTGTTCGCAATCTAGTCAAATTGGTAGACTCGCCACAAAGCTTTCGCCGTTTTCGTGCTCCAGGTCCGCAGACAATCCGGAACCGAGCGGTTAGTTAATTTACATGCATTCAATAAATACTCGCGGGAATGAGCGAGGTGGGCGCGACATCGGAAGAATTTTCGATTGCGAAGATCCCGAGAAAAAGCGCGACAGGGGCCGTATAGGCGCGCGGAATGATAGGCGGTACGATCGGTCAGCTCAAACGCGAATTTCTCGGACAGGATATACACCGACACGCGACCCGTATTCACAGTATGTTCGCGATTTGTCGGCGATATTTGCCACGACAATTCACCACACAAAACGGCAATTCATCCGTACTCTAGTCCACTCTAATTTACACTTCTGATCAGCGACACTTCCGACTCACACGCACCTTTTCTCTAGCCACTCACGCAAGAACATCCACGCGTTTTTGGTCCGGTATTCGATCACGCAATGACTCTACAGCAAGGAGTTTGATCCGACAATTTAAACAATCACGGCTAGGTGGAAAATAGAGCAATTTGGGACGCGATAATCGACCAAATAATGCATAAGGCTCGTTATAATAATCTTCAACGCGTCAGCTGATTGCCGGAACAATACAATAGCTGAGCGGTACGCGAGCGGTACGTTGGGATTAACACGGCACACAAAATATTCACGACAAGTTTACATACAAAAATAACAACGGAAACGCTACTTGGCGCGACACTGCCGCTCTAGGGCTTACTTATATTTCATAAAATATTATGTTCCATGCACTTAACCTAACCTAACCTAACCTACAATACTTTGCCACAAAGCCCCGATTCTGGCCGCTGTTGAAACTTCTAAACACGGGCAAAGGACATCAAGAAAATCAAATTAAATAACAATGTAAATAACAGTAACCGTTTCTTTAAAGTAAATCTATATTTTTCCAAAGAATTCTAGCATTGATTAAATACAATTAAATAATTCTATATTCTCAAGTATGACATTGACAAGTATCATCGGCGTTACGTTAAATACACAATGTAAAGATGGATCGGTTAAATTGTATACTTTGTGCATTTTGTGTATACGTGTATATATATATATATACAGGGTGACCAATGGGAATGTGTTGAAAGTAAATAGTTATATATCCCCTTCTCGATTTTGGTAACTGTTTTACCGACTAGGGTCCGCTACCTAAGACCCGTCAATTTCATTTGAACCGTCGTATAAACCGATTTGCGAGTTATAGGATGGACGCGCTAAGCATCGAAGAAAAAGTGTTTCTCATCGAGTGCTTCTATAGTAGAGGC